TCCTGTACCCTGTTCCTCCTCCTCTCCCCCAGCAACCACACGGTCTGGGAGTTCTGTTGGAGCTGTTGCAGATTCAGAATAAAACTCTGCATTAAAACTCTCCATCAGAACCAACTCCTGTCCTTCACCATCGCCTTCAAACTTCTCCATCAGAGGGAAACCTGAGGAACCTTCCATGGGAGGAAAATCCATCCTGCCACCACCAGAGCCTTGAAATGTTTGGACTTGTCTCCATGCACCCAACTGCAACATCCAGCTGGCCAAAAAGCCTTTTTGGGGTGATCCAGCCAGCCAAAAGTGTCTTTGGGTGAAAACACCACACATCCAGTCAGCCAGAAGTGTCTCTGGGGTGATCCAGATAGCCAAAATTGTCTCTGGGGTGATCCAGCTGGCCAAAAGTGTCTCTGGGGTAAAAATACCACGTTCAGCTGGCCAAAAGTGTTTCTGGGGTGACCTGGGGTGTCTCTGGGGTGATCCAGGTGGCCAAAATTGTCCCAGGGGTGATTCAGATAGCCAAAAGTGTCTCTGGGGTGATCCAGCTGGCCAAAAGTGTCTCTAGAGTGAAACACCACACACCCAGCCAGTCAAAAGTGTCTCTGGGGTTAAAAACACCACGTTCAGCTGGCCAAAAGTGTCCCTGGGGTGATCTGGGGTGTTTCTGGGGTAATCCAGATAGCCAAAAGTGTATCTGGGGTGATCCAGCTGGCCAAAATTGTCCCAGGGGTGATCCAGCTGGCCAAAAGTGTCTCTAGAGTGAAACACCACACACCCAGCCAGTCAAAAGTGTCTCTAGGGTAGAAACACCACATCCAGCTGGCCAAAAGCATTTCTGGGGTGATCCAGATAGCCAAAATTGTCCCTGGGGTGATCCAGCTGGCCAAAACTGTCCCTGGGGTGATCCAGCTGGCCAAAATTGTCTCTAGAGTGAAACACCACATCCAGCTAGCCAAAATTGTCCCTGGGGTGATTCAGATAGCCAAAAGTGTCTCTGGGGTGATCTGGGGTGTCTCTGGGGTGATCCAGGTGGCCAAAATTGTCCC